AACACTTCCTGAGTCTTGCTTTCTGAGGAAATACAGTATTTTTTTTTTTATTTTATTTTTTTCAAGTATATGTAAGTTCACTTATTAGGACAAGGAAGGGAACTGTTTCCTTATGTTTCTTTGGTTAGCTATTCATAACAAATACTTTGCATATACTTGCAAACTTTGAATTCATACTCCAGAGACTAAAATTCAATGAAAACATAAGTGTCTGTCAGTTTGCGTTAAATCAGGGCTTCAATACATGATGTTAAAATAACATTTCATCTTTACTCAGCACAAATGACAATTTGGAAAAAATGAATCTTTTCTGTATTGTCTGAGACAGAGGAAGAAAACCATGTCATTAATATACTGATAGATGCATGTATCCTTTGAGACTTCATCTTGGTAACCTTTTTCCAGTTAGTCATAACATCAATATTTTAAGCCTACAGATGTGGCAAAATATGGGGTACATATGAAAAATTATGTAACAAATTGTGCGTTAGCTTTCTGGAACACAAGAGCTTTTGTGCATTGTACCTATGATTTCTAAGAGAGTGTGTTTGCAAATTATGAACTTGTTTACACTCTTAGCCCATCGGAATTCAGCTAAGCTACACTTGAGCAGTTTAAAACTAAAAGGGAATTAAAAGTTTAGGAAACAAATATGAGTCAAATAAGGCATCCACTTCATTTCCTTCAACCTATCTTTTAGAACTAGCTATATATATATTTTGTGTTGCAGGTGTCAACTGTTGTATATTATGCTTTTCTCAGCAGTGAAAGCAATCATACTAATGGCTATGCTATTCTCCTGGATCATTAGTCCCATAGCTGCTACCTACTAACACATCTTTCTCCAGACCTTGGTTTTTGGGAGTTGAAAAGCACAGACTTCCCCCCCCCCCCCCCCCCTCCAGTAGGCATATTGTTGTGCTTCTGCTTCTCTGAATGCACAGTAACTGCAAGTGTAAATGATAATACTGTAAATCTTTTTTTTTCTTTTTTTTTTTAAGTTTCATATTGTTCTGATTCCAGAAAGTTGTTCTCTAAGTTTAAATTTATCACAGCTCAATAGATTGTTCCTTAGGTTGAAAAAATAATCTATATTGCAGAACTGAATACTGTATTTTTCAAGTATAAGGAGTGTGTATCCCCGATAAACAGTAAAAAATGTGTATAGAAAATGAGTTTAGCATTGGTGATAAATGACATAGAGAAAAAATGTGATTGTTACATCTTTCTAAGCTACAAAATTATTTCTGCTAGAGCTTAGAAAAATATGTACTTTACAGTACAACATAATGCTAAGAGGTAGCTAGAATGACTTTCTTTTTTATGCCAAGGCCTCTTCCCCCTGCTGATAACAGGTCATTCACAAGTTATTAAGCAGAGGAAAACAGACATCTGTAATGAATACATCTAAGCAATACGCTACGTGAAGTGTGAAACTGGGGAGAAACCCAATGCTTGAATGTCCACAATATGTAATAGTGTAGATCCCAGGGTTAATTCTAACATTAAATTGAATATATCAAAGAAGGAAACTGAAAGTCTGTGCAAAACTGTGTAGGTTTTCTGAAATGGAAACACTTAGCCACATCTAAGTATCGAATATCAGCACTTCCTTGAAGAGGAAAAAAACTGAGTAAGTCTGTTGAATGTGAGAACAATTAATTTTATTATTTATTATTCTTTTTATTGCCAGAAACAGTACAGATTGTCAGTGCCAAGGCAAAGGACTTTTGAAAGTCTGGCAGGAGTCTACTGAAGCTCATGTATAACAGGAGTGGAAAAATGTGAAGCTGTATTAATACTTGCTCACATTTGCTGAAAATATGCTTAAACGTTAATTGACTAAGCTAGGTTTTAATTTGTCACAAAGATGTTTCCTTTCATTCCAGTTTTGATAGCTATTCTTAAAAAAAAAAAAAATATTGAAAATTACTACTATTAGATATTGCCTTCTTATCAGTTGCATAGCCCAGGTCCTAATGAAGTCCTTCACCTCTAATCCCACTTGCAAGGGTAACCCCATTTGCTAAGGTAACCATCTTCATGAACTAGCTGGTCAAAGAACTGATAAAGTTAATTATGAGTGAAATCCAAAAGACGAAACAGTACAGTAGATTCCCCATGTCACACCAAAATGACAGTATGAAGTAGTAGTCATATGGAAAGTAGCCATAGTAGTCCCAGTATTTGAGTGTATTCTCCAGGTTTAGTGAACAAGCCTAATTATGGTGGGATTTCAATATATTAAATGACTTTGACTTGTTTTTGACTGTAATGGGGAAAGACTCTGCCTAGTTAAATCACTGAATTCATGAGCCCTGAGAAGTCCTACTCTGTAGTAGAGGTTCACTGTCTGTCTTCTTGATTCTAATCACTCATTATACTTACATTTATTACTTGCATGCTACTTTTTCTAGCTTGTATTTATGACTTAGTTGCTCTAGATGTTTCATGAAGCTGAATATTATGATTTTAAATGTTAATGCTTCATATTTGGATAATACTAGACATCTGAAATGGTTGAAAGGCTGAAAGTAACTTAGCAAAACAAATATTTCTGAGAGTCATCTCATTTCTTTCACAGTTCAGCTTTGTAGGTTTTATTTGGATAAACTCTAATATATTTAATCAGATAACATGGGATCAGCTTGTATATTAAACTTGATTATGTGTAAAAGCCTCTAGCTTATCAGATGGAAATATGTTACTTTCAGTCAGTCTGTTCTCTTTGTAAAGAACACTCTGAAATGAGACAAGATGTGTGCCTATTTTGTACATTGGGTTAACTGATAAAAGCATGTTTGAGGACTGCTACTGCATGAACTAACACTACATCGTGATGAAGTTGAGACTTCCATTTAAGTTCTTGCTGCTAAATTTCAAGCTGTTTTTCAAGGTGCTTTTCCTCTCGATAGAATTTTCCTTCTCTGTCCCATGCCTATATCACTTTGGCCTGCCTCTGTCAACTCTTGCTGGCCTTATATGATATTGCCAGTTCCAACTCTCTTACTCTCTTGTGGGCCTTCCCAAATGTCTCTCTTTTTTTTATTTTTTAAATATTAATATTATTGCCATCTAATAGAATGTGGTGGTTCTGATGCTTTTTTCATTATAAAAGTCACCTCATCCATGATTCACTTAAAATTTCTGTTCAGTATTTTTTACTGGATATTTATCATTTGAAAAGTTTTTCTACCTCTCCAATTGTATTCTCTCATCCCTTTTCTCCTTTTGGTCATGCTAAAAGGAGTAAAGGAAACAATCAGGATTAGTGGGACTTGAACAAAATGTTGATCTCTGTGATGATGAGAACTCTAGCACCACTCTCCAAAGGCTCATCTTGCTATCCTTTGGGTGCTTTACATTCCCATGCAGACAGCACTCCTCAGTACTCCTCATCTGATCTGCTGATCTGTCAGTAAAAAAAAAAAAAAAACAGCTATGCTCTAGGGAAAAAGAGACATTAGAGCAGAGACTGCTAGCAGGCAGCATATTGGGCTCCTCACAGGTGGCAGCGGCACCACTGCATCCCACCTACTTATGTATCTGACTCATTAGGTAGTTTGAAAGCTTTTCAGCATACAGTCAATTGTGTATTTTGCTCTTTTTTTCATCATCTTTTTCTTAAAAAGATAATCACATGCACAGTGAGTGCCTTTCTCCCATTAATGTACTTTTCTAACACTTTATTTTGCCTTCACCTTCTCTCCTTTCCTTCGCAAAGTCACATTTACATCAAGCAAATTGGGAGATTTGTGACACTTCTTAATTGCTGAGAACATTAATATTATCATATCACACTGGTTTCTGTGAAAAATTTATAAAATAAGATTTCTAATGCAATCTCTAGGTTATATTACTGATTGCTTTATAGTGAGAACTGGTATGTTGAATTAAGTTTAATACCTTCAGAAACCCAGTTTTATAATGAATGGCATTTCACTTTCACCTTGTCTATTGAACACCCTTTGAAGGTTCATGTAACCAGCTCCATGTACATGGTAACAAATTCTCTCTGGAGTTCTCCAAAACTGGAGAGAAGTTTAGGTGCTGCAGAGCTGCCAGAAATGCATCTTCTCTTTTTTACTTTTTCCCATTTCTGCTCCAGCAGATGGATTTATCCCCCTGACTTGACATTATCTGGGGAGTAAGATGCAGTGGAGAGCTCAGTAGAAAATGGCTGATGCTCTGCCATTCAAGCTGAGCTTGTATTCATGCAGGGTAAACTGTAAAAAGCAAGGTAACAGCCTGTAGCAATAAACAGTAAACTTTCTTATCTACCAGCTCCAACCACTTTCAACTGACCCATCTGCTATGAAAACAATAATGTTTGACACAAATATTTGCACATATTTGATACTGTGAAATTACATGTGGCTGAAAGACTATTGATTTTCTTTTTTCTATGCTTGTTTTGATTCCCTAGAACAATACATTGCACATAATATTTTGGGGTTTGTCTCTTCTGGGAGTCCACACTTTTTCAGACCAGACTGAGTAATTTTAAAAGTTGCTGCTGCTGTATTGATTTTCTGCCTGAATCCATTTTGCTAAGTAAACTGATCTAGGAAGTAGGGCCTGAGATCATCTCACAGGCACAATAACCAAGCCCTACCCCTTTCTAAAACACCAAAGCTTTATAATCTTTAAAACTGATTTTTATTTGACTTAGGTGACCTGCAAAATAGGAAAACCTCAGATCTGCTGGATAAGATGGAATAAAATTGAAGAAGGTGGTGAACCAATTTTCCCTCCCTCACTGTGTCCTTGCAAGGGCGAGTCCTTTTCCATGGGTTTTCTGTCAGCCTAGAGACACTCCTCTACTACACAATCCATTCCAAAAAACCCTTGACGGTTCCTCAGACAAGAGCTTTCTCTACACTCCTGGGGAGGCCAGCTGGCCTACACCTCACCCTCCAGGGAGCCAGCCCTTAAAGGCCTGCTGCTTTTCTTCTGGAAGCTTCCACTGGGCCGGGCACCGCTGCCCCTCATTCTCCCCTAAGTGGGGTGCAGGTGCTGCAATGCATGCTCATTTCCAATCCATCCTTTGTCAGCTACAGTAAAATTCTTCCTGCTGCTCCCTCTTGTCTCTATCGATCTCCGTCTCCGAGGAAGACACCTTTACATGGCTGCACAGTGAGTCAGGGCTAGGGGAGCAAAGCTTTTCCTTCCCAGTGAGGGAGCGCGATGGAGCTATTTTGTTAGCCACTGCTAAAATGGCTTCCAGGGCAGCAAAACGGCTCCCAGGGCATATGCATATCCCATGTACAAAGCACCTGTTCTCCTAGACCTGTTTGTACTTCTTTTATTGTCTGCTTTACTTTTTCTTGCTGCTGTGCTTCTTGTTGTGTCAGCGGTAGTGGAGCTGGTGGTTCTTCAAAAGTCGGGAGGAAAGGGGCGCTAGCCCATACAGCCCTACACACACACACACGAAGCAAGAGAAAGAGTAAGCAGGGCAGTATTTGCATCAAGACTCAGTAAACAGCATTTATTTATTTATTTAATGAGAGTGAGATCAACTACTAATCAACTTGTACCAGTAAAGGTCACATTGGCTTTTACTCTGGACTTCTGTGACTTCTGTGCCTCCTCCTGGAGAGGTAGCTGGTATAGTTAAATGATTTTTCAACAATTTTTCACTAGTGGGTGCCCATTTCAGCACCCTTACAGACAAGAAATGCTCTGTTACCAAGTTATTGTGTTGTGGTTATCAAGTCTTTTTTTCATGCTAATGAGGAACAATTCAGAAGGAAAGAAACAATTCATAAAGTCTGGGGGATAAATTTTCCCCCTCCCAAATGCTGTTAGCTTAAATGAGCTTGTATGGCTTATTCACAGAGGTTTACAAAAACATGATATATTGCATGTTTCTTCCTGCAAAGCCAGATGCAAGTTTTGTAATTTAAATGCACTGGCTCATTTTAATGATAAACTCAACTCTGTAAAATATGTGAAAGTTTTGTAATAATGCTGGATATTCATTTCGATGTTTTACATGGTCAGTATAACCATCTACATATATCTGTTTCAATGTTAAAAAAAATACTGATGAATTATATTTTGCATATTTGTGGTATTTTCCTGGCGTGGGTAGTATTTCTTACTTCTGAAAAGATGCTTATTTGCATTCTATGAATAGTGGATTAGGAATTTCATAGAACTTAATTCATTTTTGTTTTTACCCTTAAGAGGGTTGAATATTTTTTGTGAGCCTTCATTCATTTCAGAGCTGCCTTGATTTGGGAACAGTACTGATGTTTTAAAATTCAGGTCATAGAGGGGCCATTATTAAATTTTATAGTGATGTTTTTCTCTTGGAATAGTGAACTATATCACCAGGGATCCATTTGATTATATTGTCTGATCTTTTGTATAAGAGACTGCAGACTTCTCAGAGGTATTTTAGCTCTAGTATGTGTCTTTGTCAGAGACCTTGGTTTAGAAATGATTTGGTGTTTTTTAATTAATTCATTAACTTACAAAGCTACAAATAATTCAAGCTTTTGCTTCTAGTGAGAGAAAGCGTTGATAAAAGTATGTGCATTAGAAAATTATAAGGTTACAGTTCTTTGAAACTGAAAGTGTTTGAAATACTTGCTGGCTGTGGAGGAGAGAGAGGATATGCAATGAACTGAAAGCGAAATGTGTGGATTTTTAATAAAAGACCTAAAATTATTTACCAAGTAAATAATTAAGGAAAAAAAAAAAGTTATGTACAATTAAAGTAAGTGTATAGATTGACTACAATAACAATAATTATCCCCTGGCTAGAGCTTTTACATAAATTTATCTTTCATCCTGCATGATGGTCACCAGCTTTGTGTAAGTGTTGTTGCTAGGTCAAGCAACTCCGGAAGCTTGATGTATCATGCTTAATAGAAATAAACAATTGCTGATTATTTTTCTCATTTTATAATGCTGTTAAAATCACTTTGAATTTTGTCAGTATGTATATGTGAACTTAGGATAGAGGCTACTAGTTAACCTATCTTTTGTGATCTAGTGTAATAAAATACCTCATTTTCAAACCTAAAGTAATATAATCGATGCCACAGATTATAGCAAGTCTTTTGTTTTCACTTATGTATTTATTTTGCCAAATAAGGATAGTTTCTGCAAAAATAAGTTGTTTTCAAAAATATAAAAGTGTTAACTGTGAACTGTTGTTACCCAGCATCAATAGTAAGATATATTCGTGCTTCTTTACATCAGATTGTTTTTTGATATACTACTTTTGTATGGGTTCATGTCTGAGATCTCACCAATACAGTTTTGCGAAATACACTTTTAGGTCAGTAATCTTACACAGTTTAAGCATATACAGTTGAAACAGATTGTCAATTTCTTTACAATAGTGGATGATTTCATAAAATCATTTTTCTGAATGTTGCTGCTATACAAATGTATAGAAGAGCATAGTAAGCTAAAAAGAACTCATCACTTTCTTCACTAGGTTGACTTCCAATTGGGCCACTGTATAGCTCTCTACTAAAACATCTATTCAGAAAGCTGCTCACTACTTTTGACAGTTCAAGTGAAACCATTTTTAAGGTCAGATCTAAGGTTATTTAAATTAAAAAAAAAAAAAAAAAAAAAAAAAAAGCAAACAAAACCCCCACAAAACAACTAAAAACGAAGGTACAACCTGAGAGAAAGAGTATAGTGGCCTTAAATACAGGATGGAGAAATCTGAGTGGAAACATGATGGCACTGCTACTGTGTTGAGTGTGACAAGGTTAGGTGAATATTGTTTACAGTTAGAAAGGATATATTTTACATGCTGTCATGGGTGACATCTGGAGAATGGGTATTTTACCTTAAAGTTCAAGTTTTGTTTATTTATGTCCTGTGTGAAACTAATAGCCAGGAAGACAACAGATCCTGCAATGTTTCCATTTCATAAATAAGGTAAAGGAAAGGAGCGTGTGGATTTCTAACACCATGGATGGTAGAAAAGGTCTAGAAAAGTTTATTTTCATGGATGAGGATTTGTTTTAGGTGACTTCATAATTTCTTACAGCAGTTATTTAGGAAAAGACTTGGAAAAGTAGTTTTTCTATTTCCATGCAATGCTGTTACATTTCTGCTATCATATCAATACACAGGAAGCTGTGCCCAGGTTGAGCAAACCAGGGAGAAGGAAACCTGACTGATAGTAGGGCAGAGGCAGAAAGATTACATTTCCCTCTACTGTAGGAAAGAGTGAGAATACCCCAAGGTAGTCTTAGCAAAAGCTTAGCAGCTTCTCATTTCAGCAGAACTTTAAACATGATATCAGAGACAGCTTTGGGTCTCATGAATGTCATGGGTCCTTGTTTTGGTGAAAGTCTACATTTTAAAGACTTTGTGGGAAGACAGAGAAGGTACTTGAGTGGGGAGAGCAAGGTCAAGCATCAGATGTGGTTTGCCTTAAAGATTAAGGAAGAGAAACTGACTGTGAAGCAGGTGAGTAGCTGGCATCTTCTACTTAAATGCAGGACTGTGACATTTATTTTGGCAGTCCATTGTAAGGTGTGTGACTATGGTCATTCTAAAATTTAAACATTTTGAGTTGTGGATTTCATAAGTCATTCAGTCTTCTATTTATTAGAAAAGTGTGTGCTTGGCCCCTTCTCTCTTTTATGACTAATTAGAAGCAGGTCCAATGTCAAGACATATAATTACTCTCACCACTTTTAAATATAATGTTAAAAAAAATAAGCAGAATGTGAGGAATGCTACCTTTTGTTTTTCTCATGAAGCAAATACATTTTTGACATTTTTTGTGCTTATGTATACAACTCGGATTTTGTTAGTTAGCTTCTTATTTCTTTTGCTTTTGTCTGCCCAGAAAAAAATACATTTCTCTTTTCCTCCTTCTCTTCACCTACGTTAAATGCAGAGGCAAAACGGTTCATTCAAAACCAGGATCCATGTAGAACAACTGTCTGCCCATCCAGAACAGCTTTTCTTTTTTATTGATTGACAACTTCACTTTGTTATAGCACAAAGCACGCAATAGCATTTTCTTTTCTAGACTGAAATTACATTATTATTTACATTTTTTCATTTTTCTGTTTTCTCCAAGAGTAATGAGTACAAAATTGTGCTGAGCATTGTAGTACTATTGTTAGTAATATTGGTTTGGCAATCTATTTGCATTACCAAAAGGAAAAGCATATCTTTGTGTTCATTATTGGTTAAGTTTGAAAGAGAATATCCTGGAGAGCTGATTTTCTAGTAGTTCAGAACTGCTGATTGGAACTTATCACTGCAGCTTCACAGGAATTAGCAAAGGTTGGACCACAAAACATGAGTGAGTGGCATACAAGATATTCTGCTGTGCTGCGGTGAACTGCCAACAGTGTCATATGTGTTGATTTTTAATAAGAATTAGAGTGTTTGCCGAGATGTTAGAAGGTTGTATGTTGAAGAGAGAATGTTATAGTGCAAAAGGCGCTTTATACCATTTCTACATCCATTTTGACAACAGTAATTGGGAAAAAAAAATCTGTAAATTATGTAACAGCTTTTAATGAGACTGGCCATTAGCAGCTGAATTTTACCCACTTCTTATGGATCTAGTCTTCTGCTCTGTTGTCTGTTGTAACTCTGTGTAAAGGAGAAACTAGATGGTATCCTAATCTCAGGGGCTGTGCCAGTGCAGCCCTTGTGGATGAAATGCTTCTCTCTACACCAGGAGCACAAATGAAGCCCTGGTTAGGTATAATGAGATGGCTTGCCCTGTTACATTTCCTTGCAGAAGCCTTAAAATCCCCTGTCTTGACCAGTCTACTCTGGTTGCCAACACCACGTAGCACTGACACTAATTTTGTGCTACAGCTATCCTGAACCCAAGTGCTGCTATAGTACTTGGGGATTTGGGGAATGGTGGAGAAGGCAGTAAGCTGATGCTGAGACTCCTTAGCATGCCGGGTAGCTGCTCAGCACATCTGTTGTCAGACTGTGCCTGAGATGTATAGAAACAAAAATCACTTGATCATGAAGTTGATGTAAAAACCTCCATGTGAAAAAGAGACTCACGCTCCTTTTGTCTAAGATGCATAATGCATGTTTAGGAAATGTTAAAGTCCCTTGGTATACTTTTAATTAACATTTTTATAGAGGCATAGGATAAATTCAAGAACCCTTTAATA